CTACTTTAGGAAATTAGGAGATAATATACAGTCAACCCTCGCTATTACGGACACCCTCGGGACCGTAATTTAGTGTCCGCAGTAGCGAGAATCCGTAGTAACGAGAGTTATTTTCAGTCATTTCTTTATGTTTTTATCCGGGAATTCAGTATTTTGTGTCCGTAATATCGAGGTGTCCGTATTACCGGGAGTTGACTGTAAATGGTTTAAGATTTCCACTGTTTTTGAGCATCTTTTCAGATGTAAACATAATGTGACGTCATAATGAAATAGGGCAATTGAAATCATGGTGAGTTTCCTTCAAATAACAAGAGATTTCACTGATACTCATCGCAAAATCTTGAAACAAACCAGGAGTAGGCAACGCTGTACTCACCCGTGCTGTACATGCATTCATTCTAGCTCTTTGTAAAAGTTTTCTGTAAAAAAATAAACACAATAAATAACACATTAAATATTCATAAACCCGTGAAATACATTTTAGCGAACTTCACTTTAGTACTCTGTATTCTGCACGTTTTTTCTTTGTTTTTTGTAAGTCACTCTTTAAAGATGTTTTCTTTAACCCGTGAAATACTCAGTATTCTATACCGCTTTATTACTATTTATTTTGCCCGTTTTTCTTTGTATTTTCGGTGTATTGCACTCTAACTATCAAAGTTTGTTTCACGGGTTAGTGAACACCAATCTGGTAAAAAGCCAAGACGATCAAAAAACTCTGCATGGGTTCCCTGTACACAACTTTCAAAAATGGCGGAAGTTCACGACCATCAATGCGGAGACTTGTGACGAATCATGGAAACAAGACCTCATCTAAAAAAAAAACACCACGAAGATCGAACGTTGTCCAAAAGTTTAAAAGATGTATTGATATGTTATTCATATCAAAAGTACTCTGTAAGACACTATTGAAGTTTACTCAATGTGCACCCAAGTGCTGTGGTCGGCGACCATATGGCGCCATTTTTGAAAGTCGTGATTGTGTCACAAAACGTCGGCAGCCATTATACCAGTATTCACATCACAGTCATGATATATATCATGTAACAATAACATGATATTCATATGTGATGTAACTGAAAATGAGAAAAAACATGATGAAATGGATAGATGATTAAATTAATGAATGGGAGAAAGACTGTTCACCTTGCTCTCTGATCCTCGTTATTCTCACTTTCCAATTTCACAGCAGCAAGCCAAATTTCCTCGCTGTTTGGATTGGCTTGGAATGCCAGAGCCAGGATAGACCGCGCGGCTGGGATATCACCCTTTAGAAGAGTACAATCTTAGACATATTACATGGGACTAGACTTATATGTTTTCTGTAATAAGCATACAATCCCCCCTTCCCCCCCCTGGATCCCACTACAAAGTTGCGCTCCAAATACACCATTCTAAGCACAAACATTGGTGGCTTTAAACCTTCATGTGGGGGAGGAAAGGGGGGGTCTTCGGCGGAGGGCAAGAACACCCGAAAAATAGGTTGAACCTTCTGTAGTACAATTTGTAATAGCGTTTTGTCGCAATCAATAGTGTTTTTGGTTATAGTTTGTTGATATTCAGAGCCCCAGTTATAGAAAAGGTCTATCCAGCAGAKAAAATCCATGAAAATCCATGGAGTGTATAACTTTATCCACTCTTTGCACAATTTGCTACTCGGTCGTGTCGTTCAAAGCCCGATTAGCTTTGATGAAGGTTAACTAGTCTATAGGATTTTAAGAGTTAACCCAGGATTAGCATTAATCAGACTTTGAACAGCCTGAGCCTGGAGAATGTCACTCCACACCCTTCGTACTACTAACAAAATTGATAAAAATAAAGACACCTTAAAAATACAAAGGAAGAACTAAAATGAAAAGGACAGGACAAACAACGGAGGAATGTCACATGTACTAGAAGAGCAGGACTGTTTTGCTCAAATYCCGATGAGCGCTAATCCTGGGTTAACTCTTAGAAAACCAATGGAGTTAACCCTGGATTAACGCTAGTTGGACTTTGAACAAACCAGCCCRAGAGTAAAGGCATGAAAGAACAATGTACACCTACCGCCATCCACTTGGACTTTGACCCCATCAACCACAAGACCTCAGCCTTGGGACAATGTTTTACAGCATTTTGTAGTAAAGACTCCAGAGATTCTCTAYATTGATAGCAGAAGAAGGTTATATTATAGCACAAGCGAATATTATGAAGCCTGAATTAGGCGCGGCAACTTTGAACTTTTGCCTTCAACAATTACAGGCAACATGCCCATGTCATCCTTACMACATTACTACAACTGTTGCAAGGCCATTAAACAAATATTTTGAATTACTACAAACGACAGTTGCAGTCACGTTGTAAAGACAACTTTGGCAGGTTGCATGCGATAGTTGTATGCAAAATTTATACCATCTAATTTGTCCTTAAGAAAAAATAAGGATTAAAAAAGAAAGAAAAAAAATGGAAGGAAGGGAAAAGAAAGGAAATGTGAAGAGGTGGAGTGGGAGGAAGTTATGGAAGAACAAATGAATGGATGAAAAAAATGAACAAATGAATGAATGAGTGAAGGAATGACGAAGAAACAAGAAAGCTAATGGTTGTAGGTGCATACCTTGTTCCATAGTTTTTCTCAAAGTAAGCTGCTCTCAGCCAGACACTCTTCTTGCTTGGAAACACAGTCAATGCATGTGCATARATTGCTCTTGCACACTCGTATGCATTATGGGAAATACACTAGACCAAAGATAYATTGATAATACTAACTAATAAATCATACAATATAAAACAGACATCGATAGTTACACATCCCGCAAGGTAATACCACAGGTAATCCGCATTTTGCTAAGAGCGTGCGCCGATAAATAAAAGCGTGCAAGTGCGAAAATCGTTCTTTCTTTTCTCTCAATCAATAGTTGGGCAGCCTATGGTAACACATCATCAAATGATAACATTACGCTGTTTTGATTGCCAATGTTTTCTGTCAAACATTACACAAAAATATCATTCTAGTAGTTCTAAATATTGCTCTTTTTGTCTCGTATTTTTTAGGAATTATTTGAAATATCACTTTTTGGATATAATGTATAAAATAAAACTATCATCTTGTTACTTACACTTTCAGCGTCTTCCATCCAAGTGTGTTTACGATCTTCTTCTTCTACACCAACACCAATAACAGTACGACTATGACACAAACATATCAATCAACACAGATGATACTAAGGGGGAGGGGTGTGGGGTCAACATGTGATGATCAATGCAGAGTTTTAGGCTCACATTTACTGCTAATGCCACATGTCAAAACTGATCAATCTATTCTTTCAAGTGTATATAAGTTTGATCGTTTTCTTGTTATGAGTGCATTGCTTTTATTTTGAAGCACTTTAAAGGGGCATGGTCCACCAGCATTCAATGCAGTCGTGTTATGAAAAATGAGGTGACTTCGAATATCCATTCGCAATCTGTTTCCATCCATTGGTTTAAAGGTCGAATCTTACAGTATCTCCATTCATATAGTATAAAGGGAAAATAAAAACAAAGTAAGTTTTTGCTTATATTACGATGTATTTTTATTTTCAAAAATGAGCAAAAGCTCCAAAGGGATGCTGAGTGGACCATGTTTCTTTAATGTTTGCTTTTTACACCCAATTTGATGTTTGGCATTTTGCTTGCTGTCAACGTGAAATCTAGATCTAATAAGAAATCGATGAATCAATCAATGCAAGAGATACAGGAGGAGAGGAGAGGTGTCTACATACATGATGGCTTGACATGTGTGAACACTGCTGGCCTTTTCAGACTCCTCAGCATCAGTAATCCACTGATCCCGGTTGATTTCCACACCATTACTCTTTAGAGATGCCACAGCTGGAAAAGACAAGCATAAAATGAACTATCTGGGCACACTAGTGATTGAATAAAAAACGTATCCCCCTCCTCCAAGCAAAACAACTAGATAGCAAAAGTGTTAAGTCTTCAGAGCTTGGCTGTTCAAAGCCTAGTTAGCGTTAATCCAGGGTTAACTCCAAAGGTTTTCTAAGAATTAACCCAGGATTAGCGTACTTTTTTATGTCCGCTGCAATTGAAGCAGACATAAAGTACGAGGACTACAACTACCATCATCCTTTGCTGCACAAAATTGCCTATTGAGCATATTATTTTCAAGCTTTGACACAGGGCTTTGTAACTACATGTAAAAGCATTAAGACAAGGCTTCAATTTTACCTCTTTCTATAATCTTCTCTACCATAGGGATGTTATCATTAGCTTCTTCCAATTTTGCAGCAGTAATCCAGATGAGCCTGTCTGTTGGAATGCTTTCACGGGCTTTGTTCAACACCTGTATTGTAAATGGTTTTAAGAACACAATGATTTTAAGGGAAGGAAGTTGTCAGTGTGCCAATAATTGTTTTCCTGCAAAATGCCTCGAAATGATTTGTGGACTGTGTTGTCTATTCAAGTGAAATTTCCCTTGTGTAGATATCTAAATATGTGGCTGGACAACAGTAGAAGTCTCGTGAAAATCGCTAATGTCACAGATTGACAATGAATGTTAAATCTGAATAGATACTGAGTATTGAAAACTATGTAAGTATATAAATCAAGACTCACCTTTCTGGCATTTTCATATATTTCTAATCTTGCAAGTGCAAGCCAAAGCTACAAAAACAACAAGAATAGTCACTAAATAAAAACTATTTGTTAGTAACTATTTAGGTTTTATTTTATGGACATAGTGTCAGCATTCTAATGAGATTTCTTTACTTTACAAACTTGATGTGAATAATCGTCATTACCATACCTCTACACTAGTTGGACAACACTCMACAGCTCTGCTTAACATGATTCTTGCATCATCAGGTTCTTCAAGCTCTACAGCTGCCTTCCAGATCCTGACTGAGTTAGGGATATTTTCCAATGCTAAACAAATATATAGAGTCAAATAATACACTGTAAATTTAAAACAGCTAATGGTGGAAATCATAGTTAATAGAGGGGACTGTCCCTTCTATTAACTATGGTGGAAATAGATCTCTAGCTATCAAGATTGATACACCGCATACAATTAATTATTGTTATTATTTCTAAAGCAGTAATATCATTAAAACTAAGTTTATGCAAACCTTTTCTGTAGACCCGTTTTTGTGCCACAATTTCTGTCTCCAGCTCGGCAGCTTTGATCCACAAACGAACTGATTGTGGCAGCTGACGTACTGCTTGTGCAACCACCGCCTTGGATTGCTCTGGAGGCTGCAATGAAATAAATACATGAGAGTGTTTCAAGTAATCCATAAAATGCTACTGTTTGTACTTATACATAACAGTCATTCCAGATATTGTAGTTACACTGTGTCTGACAAAGCACAAGTTTAACAAGTCAGATCATATTTTAGCTTACAGTGAAAATCATTGCATTGCAACTTCCTTGTTTCAAAGTTTTTGTTTTTGATTTTGTTCACTTTCCTATGATGGGTGAAGATTTTTGTGAACTTGTTCAGTCATTGGCTGATTTGCAGCAAGCTACGCGCCAAAGTCACAGAAAAACCTACAGTAATGATTTCTTTGGAACATTGAAGTCACAATGCAACGGTTTCTACTGAAAGCAAGTTTTTCACACAAACATATCAATCAACACACATGATACTAAGGGGGAGGGGTGTGGGGTCAACATGTGATGATCAATGCAGAGTTTTAGGCTCACATTTACTGCTAATGCCACATGTCAAAACTGATCAATCTATTCTTTCAAGTGTATATAAGTTTGATCGTTTTCTTGTTATGAGTGCATTGCTTTTATTTTGAAGCACTTTAAAGGGACATGGTCCGCCAGCATTCAATGCGGTCGTGTTATGGAAAATGAGGTGACTTCAAATATCCATTCGCAATCCGTTTCCATCCATTGGTTTAAAGGTCGAATCTTACAGTATCTCTATGACATATAGTATAAAGGGGTAATAAAGAGTAAGTTTTTGCTTATATTACGATGTAAATGAGCAAAAGCTCCAAAGGGATGCTGGTGGACCATGTTTCTTTAATGTTTGCTTTTTAAACCCAATTTGATGTTTGGCATTTTGTCTACTGTCAACGTGAAATCTTGATCTATTAAGAAATCGATCCACAGAAGAATCGATCAATGCAAGAGATACAGGAAGAGAGGAGAGTTGTCTACATACATGATGGCTTGACATGTGTGAACACTGCTGGCCTTTTCAGACTCCTCAGCATCAGTAATCCACTGATCACGGTTGATTTCTACACCATTACTCTTTAGAGATGCCACAGCTGGAAAAGACAAGCATAATATAAACAGTCTGAGCACACTATTGATTGAAGAAAAACTTGTATCTCCCTCCCCCCAGCAAAACAACTGAAGGAGATACTCCTAATGCATGTCAGTCAATCTTAAGGAAGATTTAGTTGGTGCAAGAATATTTTTTTTGGACTTCAGGCGCACGATTGCAATTTTGTGCAGCAAAGCATGATGGTAGTTGTAGTCCTCATACTTATTAGAGACCCTACATTATCTCCCCAAGAGCTGTTATACATTTTCTTAGTCTTAGTAGAAACGGTACATCTACTTGTATTTTTCCCTAGAAAAAGCAAAAACAGCTAAGGAGGACTGTTGTAGCGGATATAACGTATGAGGAGTACAACTACCATCATGCTTTGCTGCACAAAATGGCGTCGCTGACACAGGGCTTTGTAACCAATCACAAAGTATCTGCATCAAGACAAAGCTTGCGTTTTACCTCTTTCTATAATCTTCTCTACCATAGGAATATTATCATTAGCTTCTTCCAATTTTGCAGCAGTAATCCAGATAAGCCTGTCTGTTGGAATGCTTTCACGGGCTTTGTTCAACACCTGTATTGTAAATGATGTTAATAGACACATTAAGGGAAGGAAGTTGCCTGAGTGTGCCAAGCCATCTTTTCCTGCAAAAGGTCTTGAAATGATTTGCAGACTGAGTTGTCTATTCAAGTTAAATTCCCATTGCTTAAATATCCATTTTGTGGCTGGACAACAGTACAAGTCTCATGAAAATCTCTAATGTCACAGATTGACAATGAATGTTAAATTTTAAAGATACTGAGTATTGAAAACTATGTAAAAGTATATAAATCAAGACTCACCTTTCTGGCATTTTCATATATTTCTAGTCTTGCAAGTGCAAGCCAAAGCTACAAAAACAACAAGAATAGTCACTAAATAAAAACTATTTGTTAGTAACTATTTAGGTTTTATTTYATGGACATAGTGTCAGCATTCTAATGAGATTTCTTTACTTTACAAACTTGATGTGAATAATCGTCATTACCATACCTCTACACTAGTTGGACAACACTCCACAGCTCTGCTTAACATGATTCTTGCATCATCAGGTTCTTCAAGCTCTACAGCTGCCTTCCAGATCCTGACTGAGTTAGGGATATTTTCCAATGCTAAACAAATATATAGAGTCAAATAATACACTGTAAATTTAAAACAGCTAATGGTGGAAATCATAGTTAATAGAGGGGACTGTCCCTTCTATTAACTATGGTGGAAATAGATCTCTAGCTATCAAGATTGATACACCGCATACAATTAATTATTGTTATTATTTCTAAAGCAGTAATATCATTAAAACTAAGTTTATGCAAACCTTTTCTGTAGACCCGTTTTTGTGCCACAATTTCTGTCTCCAGCTCGGCAGCTTTGATCCACAAACGAACTGATTGTGGCAGCTGACGTACTGCTTGTGCAACCACCGCCTTGGATTGCTCTGGAGGCTGCAATGAAATAAATACATGAGAGTGTTTCAAGTAATCCATAAAATGCTACTGTTTGTACTTATACATAACAGTCATTCCAGATATTGTAGTTACACTGTGTCTGACAAAGCACAAGTTTAACAAGTCAGATCATATTTTAGCTTACAGTGAAAATCATTGCATTGCAACTTCCTTGTTTCAAAGTTTTTGTTTTTGATTTTGTTCACTTTCCTATGATGGGTGAAGATTTTTGTGAACTTGTTCAGTCATTGGCTGATTTGCAGCAAGCTACGCGCCAAAGTCACAGAAAAACCTACAGTAATGATTTCTTTGGAACATTGAAGTCACAATGCAACGGTTTCTACTGAAAGCAAGTTTTTCACACAAAGATTTCAGAGTTCAAATGCCCAGGTACTCATTTTTTACCACATTTTTGTATAAAATGAACTGCTATCAAAATAAATAGAAATCATGCTGGCAAATCATCCTTTACATATTTTTAGAACAAGTTATTATGCTATTATAACACTCTTCAGCCTGATCAGGTTGCCGACATGGTACAAGACCGTGGACAATGGAGGAAGATCGTGGTCGCCTGCACTGCAGCCAAACGATGATGATGATCATCATCATCGTGCACCTGCATTTTAGTTGTTGCATCATACTATACATGACAGCTCAAGTACCTGTAGCCGTACAGCCTCCAGCCAAATATCTTCATTCTTGGAGCACACATCAGTRCCCTTCATGATAGTATTCCTAGCTGCCTGCATGCGACCCGTTACTTCCTCTAAACGAGCAGCAGCTATCCAACCTGGAGCATGCTGGGGGTTTGTTGTAATGACTGATTTTAGAAGAAGCCTTGCTTTCTTGATATCACTATTAATACAATAACATTCAAATTACATTAAATTAGATATGATGGTGTTTAGGGATCAGATTTGGTAACTATATACTATAAGTATAGGTACAATGTCTTCACATTGTTTTGCAGGAAAAACCTCCAGTCTCCTGGTGCCTTGTTGATTGATTGATTAATTGATTGATAAGATAACTGATTATCATGACTGATTCATTGGTTGTCTGATTGATTTATAAACTGATTGATTGAGTAACAAAATGACTGATAGATTAAGTTTAACTGGCTGATTGGTATTGATTGATTATCTTTTGGGTGACTGATTGATTGACTGACAGTTTGGTTGACTCTTGCCACTTTAGTGATTCCTTGAATGACACAATGCCTAACATGGACTGACTGTCAGCTAAGTGACTGATTGACAACTGACACCTTGACTAACAGACTAAGTGACTGACAGACAGATTAATTTATACTGACTCACCCAATATCCCCTCCACTAATAGGGGTCAAGCTCTGTAAGTCTGTCAGATAACCCTTAGGGTCCACTACAGTCTGTCCAGAGACAGAGTCCGATGCCTGGTCAAGTTTAACACCAACAAGAGACTTCCTGGCTTCACCTATCATGTTAAGGTCAAGGTCAGCTGATGGTGTGGAGAAACCAGGTGTCATTGCGCCAGGAAATGGAGTTTGAAATCCACCATATCTCTGAAATAACAAGTGGAATGTGTGGTTAGTAAAGTCTCCTTTGCAATGTCTCCTTGTTAGGTCTTCCTATGGGCTTCCTGTGTATACAGGATGCCCAAAAAACAAACAAGTTATAGAGGATGATAATTTTTGTCGACCAGAAAAATGGAGAGGCGAAAAAAAATACAATAATGATAAAATAATATCCTTGATAAATGTCAATAATAATGCTAATGAAAAGATGGTAAGGGGGAGTTGGGTCAGGGGGGTTGTGGGGGGGTAAGGATATGGAAATACTGTATGTCCTACTTACTTGCTGCACATTGCTCAAAGCATTCACAGTACCACCAGCAATCATAGTTGTTTGTAATACACTGTCTGGAACAGGTGTAAACCTAGACAACAACACATGAATCCATCAGTACTGTATCACAATATTTGCAACCGACAAGTCCTGATTGCAGTAGTTTAAGCTTTACAAAGTATCAAGCCTGAGGAATGCCTCTAGAGYAGTCTACTGGACTGTTGATAAAACTGGATACATGTAGGATTTTCTTAAAGTACTCTTAGTACAAGATATGGTAAAAATCAAAGTTATGCATAAGTTCACCTATTTCAATGATTTTTATTATACCATGTACATATATTATAAACATATTTTATCAGAATTTTCTTTCTCTGTTTTGCAATTATTTTCATTCAAAATTTTTAAATTTGCTGTATTGTACCTTACATTGTAAATCACATTTGTTCATTTCGCCATGAAGAATGTGCTATATGTACATGTAAGCTATTAATTAAATTATTATTATTATTGATCATTTATTCAAAGAGCCATAAAGTCTTAACCTGTCAATCATGTTGACTTACTTTTCTCCCTTGGGATTCCTTTGTTTTTTACTTCTGTAGTCACCAACCTCTGGAATATTAACCCAGTCATCTTCAGACACTTCTGTGAGTTTTCTCTGTTGAACAAATTTATACCAAATCAATATAGTTTAGATAAAATGACTGCAAATTTGTCCCAAGAAAATTTTAAGAATATCTTGAATGACTATAGCCTAGTAGATGCTAAGATGCCAATATAATAGACACTTTTCACTTGCACAGGTTTCTCAGTAGAAGCCGGCAGCCTGCAAAAATCTCCGGTTATCAATTAGTTAATCCCCGGCTACTTCCAAATTAATTTGCAAATTATTTGGCTGTACTTTTCCTATTTTGACGTCTACTTTTTTTTCTACTGAGAACCCTGTTGCACCAAACCAAGACAGATTTGGACAACAAAAAGAGTCCCTTTTGTGCTTGCTTATCTATTTGCATTGTTATGAAAAAAATTGTGATGGTAAAAAAGTCTATGCTTATGACATAACTTGCTTTTGACATAACTTGGCATTCTTGCTCGCTTTGGTATTTACCATAAAAATGGAAGTTACAGTACCATAAACAGAAAATGAGAAACCCAAAGGAATGGGCATTATAACATATTATAACATATGTAGGACATTGAGAACTTACGGCCATATGTAGTAAATTCTTTAGCTTACCTTCAAGTCAGAAAATTGTTGCTGAATTTTTGGTCTTTCTTGTCGATATTTTTCAATTTTTTCTTTCAATTTTTGTTCCCTGTAAGAGAATAGTCATAATGTAAAATACTTTTTTTTTCTTTGAAGCTCTTCATGTACAAGAAGCAGTACAAAAACAGGTTCTCATTGTTACTGTACCTTCTTTCTTTCCTTCTGTCATCCATTCTTTTATCAATAGCTTCATAAACTTCATCAGCTTCCTCATCRTCTTTATCATAAGGACCACTGGAAAATAAACTCCCTCCGTACCCTGCAAACTACAAGAAATAATGGYCCCATTTGTCAAAAGATTGGGATTCCTGTGTTATATTACCACAGGAAGCCCAAAGTACCTCATCATAGTTTGACTCGTTCAAATCTTCTTCCTCTTCTTCGTCATCYTTTTTCTGTAAATGTGCTGGTTTTCCATGTCTTTCATCACTAAGAATAAACAATTCAATTGTTTTGTTTATTGTGACAAATGAAATCAAGTTGGGAGTTGCATTCCAACAAGCTTTCAGAAYTTTTTTCTATGATGAGCATAAAACTAAATTAACTTGGCCTTGAAAGTTTCTTGTATTAATATTATTCATACCTGATATCTGTAGCTTCTCTAGCGGGACCAATATCAGACCTCGTTGTAAAGCCTGTTGCACTAAGAATGATAGAATTGAAATCGAAAATCAACCCCTGATTGCACAGAAAACTACAAGATTTGGAGTTATAAAATACCAAGTCATTGACCTACCCTCTACCAAGACCAGGAACATATCCCAGAGGTGCTGAAACGCCAAGAAACGGCTTTCTTTTCTTATTTAAAAGTGACATTTTCGACAAAATACTTTTAAACGAAGAACTCACGTTTTCAATATGGCYGCTGGACCTCGTTTGCATGGTAGTGCCAGTCTACTAACCGTGCGTCAATGCGCGCCATTTTTCGAAAAACAATCGGAAAACATGTAATTTTACCACAGTWGGTCCGTTAAATGTAAATAATTYCAAAGAAAGTATGCTTCCTCGATAGCTTGGAAGTMTTTATATGTTTTTGATATGGATGTCGATCCGGAATTTGAATTTGAATGTCCAAAGTGGGTCGACTTCGAGTTTGAAGAAGGCGATGAATTTGAGGAATGGTAGGTCGTTTTGTACCATTTTTGGGTTATTRACTGATCTTAAAGCCTGCTAACTCTCTTTTGTTATCAGTTTGGATGATTCTTGGTTTGGTAGAGACCATCCCTTGCATGAACCTAAAGACAAAGACGASAATGAACAACCAAAACCGCTCATTGACGTTAAGGAACATGAAACCRCATCAAATTCAACAACCACCGCAACAAAAGCTGCTTCAAAAAACAAAACTTCTAAAAAATCAATCGGTGTGAAGCGATCTGTTACAATGCAAAGAAGAGAAGGGCGAAGRATGCTCCCAGATGTTCATAAAATAAACAGTAAAAATCAGGAAAATGCTTCCAAATGTGAATTCAACCAGAAGAGAGATTTTACACCTCCATCAACAACTGATTCTCCGTTACGCTCAGGTACTGGACAATGTTTTGACAGCATGCAGTTTTCTACTAGACATCTTTGTAGAAAGGTTTTCAATAGTCAAATATGAAAGACCCCCGTTTGTTTTACATTTTGAAATCTCATCCCAGAAATAAACAATTCTCAATTCACTGGAATTTTTTGGGAAATCATTCTTTCGAAAGTAGAACTCATCATTGTTATTAATCATTAATTGGAATCTTTTGAAAAAGGAAAAGCATGCTTAACTAAAAAAACAAAAATGAAGAAAGCTTTTGAAAAGATTTCCATCCACTTCCCATCTATTTTCTTTTCATTTATTATCCATTCTTTTTTAACTTATTTTTTATTCATATATTGTGAATACAATGTAAACCACACTTTCCTCTAAATCACAAATAATATTAGAGTGACTTTTCGAAAAATTTCAATGTAATTCTTCATCCTTTTGTAGAAAAGAGCAACACTCCTTTATCGTCATTGCATTCACCTCTTCGTGGTAAGCTTGATTCTTCTCCTGCTGTTAATTCACCTAAACGTAAACTCCTTGCTAAGGCTGTAAATAATGCAGTTAATGCAGACGGACAGAGGAAAAGAAGACGATTGCCAACTATTCCAAATGAGGTACATTGTTACATGAAATAGATGACTGTTAGAGGGGATTTTGTATGACTGTGCAAAAGCATGGACTAATGATTCAACAATACATTACTGCCACAGTATGGCATTGGCTTAAGTGTCAAGTTTTTTGAACATTCATACTAAATCTGCCTCTATTGTTTAAGTTAGAATTGTCTTACCCAGGCCCTTTTAAACGGAAAATCCAGGGCCAATCAAATCAACTCATTCATCTTCAACCAGAACCTTTGATTTTCCATTGGGAAACTGAGAATGATCTGGGTACAAACAAGAATGATAGCTTTTAAATTGGCAGAAAAAAAAATTGATGCTGTGGTGATGCCAGAATTGTAATGTTTTCCAATCACTACTAACAGTCTTTCTTTTGCTGCACTATCCTTTATTATTGTTATTTCCATTGTTTTTGTGCATTTTCTTTTATCATTCCTTTTCTCTAATCCTATTTTTCAGAGCCAGGATGYATCAGCCCTTTTACCCCTAAGAGCAAAGTCAGCATCAGATGATTCCAAACAGCCACACTCTTTTACCAAAACCCCTGACCAAAGCCCATATAGATTAGAGGAAAAACCAACCACATTAATCAGCCAACAACCAAAACAATCCCAAAACAAACCAGGTAYTGAAGATGACAAAAGCTTGGAAGAAATGCTGAAATTRCACAATCAAAAAGTKATGGCTACAAGGTGTAGATACGATAACAATGGTAGAAGAATTAAGACMGAAAATGCATCTAATGTTGCTTCTTCAAGTGCAAATAACAGTAAAGACACTAGTGCAAGTATCAAAGATAAAGTCATCAAAACTACCTCAGTTAAAAACCATGTTGTTAAAGAAACAAATACTGATATGGCTTCCAAAAAATTAATCCAAAAAGAAAATAATAAGAAAAATACTTTGGAAGAAGTACCAACTATTTCAAAGTCAAGTAAAAACACTTCTAATAAAGATAATGGCTTGAAACTGAATTCAATTGAAGAGAATCAGGGAGATGAGATGAGTGTAGAAGACCTGCTGAAGCTTCACAACAAAAAGGTTACTGCTTCTAAATGTAAATATGATTCTAATGGACGACGTATTCAGCCTGGTAACCCTGCTTTTTGTCCTGCTCCCAGTAAGGTGAGTTCAGTGAGATATTGTGTTTCTCTTGGGCACTATTTTTGTACAAAAGCATTTAGATGATTCCACTAATTATTGATGCCACATACAAAAAACAGGTTCTGGTAAGGGCCAGGATAACTAGTGCACAGTCAAGTAGCATGACTACAGTATATTCAGTACGTTATTTAGCAGAGTCACTTGGACCATGAAATCGAATCTAAATACTAACTAAGAGGCACTATTTGCACACCATCACTGAACCAGAATTACAAAGAGATTACTTTGATTGTTATAGTGGTCTCTTGGGTATTGCTTATTGGTTCAAATAAACTGTTCTGGTTCAGTGCTAACGACTATTAGGAACTAATAGTGCCTATTAGTTGATACTTTTTAGTTTTTATTTCATGGTAAATGTGGCTCTGCATATCTTCGGTGTACAATAATATTTTTCATTCTAGCCACCATGTTCTACATTATTGTAGATCTCAAAATAATCTTCAGATTGAACAATATTTCTGTTTAGTAAGTTTGGATACAATGTGGTGCAGGTGCTCATTTCTTGGTAGAAAAAAAACGCAAGACTTCATTTTATATTAAATCAGCTGAAAGCTTTGTGTTTCAAAGTCAGAGGAAATACATTTGATGGCTATTCCAGTAGCTTGTTTGGTGTGAAACTAAAGGCAGAAACTCTCATTGCAAAAACCCTGTGCATATCCCCTTACTGTTTTTAAATTCTCTAACCATTATGAGGTTAGGCTGCATTCATTATGTATATACCACAGGGGGGGAGGGGGGGGCAGAGGAAATTTTGCTAGAACGCACAAATTTTTGGATCCCCCCCAAATCTCAGCAGTAATTTTCATAT